TATTATTTCTGAAATAAAAACTTGTTTTATCATGTAAATTAGAGCATGAAGAATAATGTATTTGGGAACTATTTTCTTAATAGGAAAAATTTAAGGGTACTGGTGAAAAGAAACTTAGTGATGCTTTATGATGAGATTGTGGTAATTTGTTGGATAATTTAGCAAGGAGTTAGAGTGTTTTGAATTTTACTGACGTGTTTAAAATAGGTTGCGAGTGGTACCTCTGTTTGAAACTGTGAAAGATCTGAGAGGAGCTGGTGCTGTTATCCGAAAACTTTTATCAATAGACTGGTACCGTGAACACATCATTAAGAACCACAACGGACATCAAGAGGTACCATTTTAATCCAAGGTTCATCTTATTTTTTGTTATGTTCATAATGTGAAGTTTACCTTAGAGAATTATAAACTGTATATCCAGGTTATGGTTGGATATTCTGATTCGGGTAAAGACGCTGGTCGCTTTACTGCTGCCTGGGAACTTTTCAAAGCTCAGGAGGATGTTGTAGCGGCATGCAATGATTATGGGATAAAGGTTACACTATTCCATGGCCGTGGAGGCAGTATTGGTCGTGGTGGAGGGCCAACATATCTGGCTATTCAGTCTCAGCCCCCTGGGTCTGTGATGGTAGGTTATGCATCATTGCATTCTGTCTTTCAAAACATGAATTTCAGTCTCATTTTCCCTTCTAAAATTATGAGCAATTTTTTTAGTTACTGTGAATTCCCTCTTGAAAATACCCATCAAATATGAATTAGATTCTAGTAACTATTGAGGAATATTTGCTTCTTTCGAAGAACAAATTTATTTTTCCATGGTGCATTGCAGGGAACCCTTCGGTCTACTGAGCAGGGAGAGATGGTGGAGGCGAAGTTTGGGTTGCCACAAATAGCTGTTAGACAACTTGAGATATACACAACAGCGGTGCTACTTGCAACCCTTCGTCCTCCTATTCCACCCAGAGAAGAAAAATGGCGGAATGTGATGGAAGAGATATCAAACATCAGTTGCCAGTGTTACCGCAATGTAGTGTATGAAAATCCAGAATTCCTGGCCTACTTCCATGAAGCCACACCAGAGGCAGAACTTGGCTTCCTTAACATAGGTAGCCGCCCTGCAAGAAGGAAGAGCTCAAGAGGAATTGGACACCTTCGTGCAATTCCGTGGCTATTTGCATGGACACAAACAAGATTTGTTCTTCCAGCTTGGCTTGGAGTTGGAGCAGGTTTAAAAGGAGCTTGTGAGAAAGGTCTAACTGAAGATCTAAAAGCCATGTACAAAGAATGGCCATTCTTCCAAAGTACCATAGACCTGATTGAGATGGTTTTGGGAAAAGCAGACATTCCTATAGCCAAACACTATGATGAAGTCCTTGTGTCAAAGGAGAGGCAAGAGCTTGGTGGTGAACTAAGAAGTGAGCTCATGACGGCTGAAAAGTTTGTACTAGTGATTAGTGGGCACGAGAAACTTCAGCAGAACAATAGGAGCTTGAGGAGGCTGATTGAGAATAGACTTCCCTTTCTCAATCCCTTGAACATGTTGCAGGTGGAGATCCTCAAGAGGTTAAGACGTGATGATGACAACATTAAAATCAGAGATGCTTTGCTTATCACCATAAATGGAATTGCTGCAGGGATGAAGAATACAGGTTGACCTTGTTTCTCAGAGACTATACTGTACAAGCCTTCCTCAGTTCCCATGTGTTCACCCTTGTTGTATAATAGGTTTGCTAAGAAAAGATTAAGACAGCCATAATGGCCATGCTTTGTTCTGTACTCAAAAGATAAATGATGTGATGCATAATAAGTTTTTTCAGTATTTCGTAGTCATAAATTTTCTGTACCTAATCGTGCCAACAACATTTAGTTACTAAGTCATAAGTTACTTCAATAAATTTACGTGGATGTCCATAAATTATTTTTCATAATCCAATAAATATATCCTTAGGTTATGTTAGAAAAAAGAGAAATGACTTTATGAAGTTATTTTTACTCTTTCGGATTATATGATTCAAATTTTAAATTACGTATTTTGAAAGTTTTTCTAAATTATGTAATCTGGGAAACGTTTTTATTTTCAAATTATAAAAAGTAAAGTGGGAATCTTTATATTTATGAAATGCAGAAGAAAATATGGAGGTGGAGGAAGAACTTGCCCTTGGTTTAATACCCTGATTGTTTGTAGCATTGTGTTCTATTACTACATTGAAAATGAGGGTGAAAGAAAATAACATCTTGACAATTGGGTTAATTGTTTAAAGTGTTGGAAATCGAGTTACACCCTAACAAAGACTCACCTGAGTGCTTTCAAAAATAAGTAAAAGTGACGTTAATTATCATTTAAGAATATTATTCAGACAATCGACACTGGAATCACAATTTCATGGTGAGACATGATTTTTTCTAAAAAATTACTGTTTGATAAGAAAATGCTGTTCTTCCATAGGGTAAAAAGAATTACTAGAAAGAAGGTTTACTTCACTAGGACATCAATTATTAATTAATGCAAACCTTTTCTAATTGCTATTATATCAAATTAATTAGGGTGTTGCTCCCTCCACTACCACACTTTTTTCCCTCCACCTCCCATTTACTATTTTGCCCCTAAGTAAAATTTTATTTTTAGGATTATTTTTTAATTTTACCCATTCACAACCTATTCCACTAATAACCTATTCTAGCGTCCCCTTACATGAGTAAAATATTTTTATTTCATTTTAACATTATATTTCTTCCTCTCTTTCTTTTACAAGTTGCAAAGGTTGGTGGTGGTGGAAAGAATTATCAAGCAGTCTCCCTCTCGTGGTACAGTGTCGCTCTCGTAGTGCAGTGTGTGGAGTGGTGCAGTGTGTGTTGCTTCCTCAAGGTGTGTATTCAAATAAACCTTCAAATAAAACCCTAAAATAAAAAACGTAACATTTAAGACATCCTTCAACGGATGTCAAAATCCTTCAACGGATGTCAACATCCGTTTAAGGTAAAACGGATGTCGACATCCGTTGAAGGATGTCACCTCCGTTTAAAAGTTACGTTTTCTATTTTAGGGTTTCTTTTATTAGTTTATTCTTTATTTTGGAAATATTTTAATAATTTAATTTAAATGTTTTGATTTATTATTTTTTTAATATATTTTTAATGTATTTTAATAATGTAAAGAAAATGAAGAAGAAAGAAACAGAGTAGGAGAAGTTAAATGTAGAAGACAGATTGGGTTTCAGAGTAAAACTAAAGACAAATTATTAAACGAAAATTAGAGATGGAAATATTGTTTTCAGTAGTAAAGTAGGAGAACTAGGTTTGAAATAAATTAAAATAGTAAAAGTAAAAAATTTTAATCTGATGATATAATTTGAATTAAAATAAATTGGGGAAGTGGAGGAAGAAAGGTGTGGTGGTGGAGAGAGCAACACCCAATTAATTATGGTACCAACTCTTGACAGTCCATCCTCAAGGCACTTTCTTCCTGCAGCCCACATGAGAAAAATATAGACTTCCGGAAATTTCGATCCAGAGAATAGAGGTGGTTAGTTTTTCCAGAAAGATATTTCCGGAAAAAAAAATCTGGAAATTCACATATGATGGGGTGAAAGAAGAAAAACAGCCTTACTTAAATCCAAAGAGCGATCCCACGATCCCACATTGAAAGTTGCTCCCTCCACCCTTAAGTGCTTCCAACACTTCTTTATTATTTTTTTTATTCTAAAAATACCTTAGGTTAAATTAACTTTTATCATTTAACTTTATTTATCTTTTTTAAAACTCTAAATCTCTCTACACCCCTCCGCTATTATCTCTCTTCCTCTTTGGTATAAGAAAGAGTTATGTTTAAAACCCTGTTATCACAACATAAAACCCTGCTATCACCAAAGCATTCTTGACACCACCAAGTTAGGATAAAGAATTTGAAGCGATTTATAATCAAGATATCCATAATGAAATTGAAGAGGTTCAACAATAACTCCACAGCAACGACTTTTTCTACAATCTACAAAAACAAAATAATTCAGCATTTGAAGGAAAAATGAAATGCGCAATTTAAACTTAAAATCATAAAAAAATACCTCTTTAAACTCCCTGTCAACGTCACATGCTCCTTTGATTTTAAAATTGAGAACATTCGTCACATGCTCCTTTGATTTTAAAATTGAGAACATTCGGTAGCTCTTTGAACTCTCTGTCAACCTCAAATGATCCCTTGAGAATGCTGACAGGAACAAGAATAGTTGTCTTTGCGTTGACAATATAGCAAAATTTTTCACAATGTCGCAATCTGACACCAAGAATGGACTATAACTAATCAAGTGAAAGAGATATTAATAGATAATAAAAAAATGAGTTTAAATTGGGAGGAAGAGAAAAGAAACACTTACATTTGAATATAAATGTTTAATAAGGATATTCGAGGAAGAAGTTAGTTTGAATATAAATGTTTAATAAGGATATTCGAGGAAGAAGTTAGTTGTTCAACTTTCGTGTCAAGTTCTCCGTTCATCTAAGGGAAGAAGAGATATGAAATTAGAGATGAAGAAAATGTTTGATGATTAATAGAGAATAAGTAGGTGAAATGTTTGATGATTAATAGAGAATAAGTAGGTGTTGGAATTGATTCGAAGTTTTTCCTTGGCATGCATTCGCAGAGCTTTGAAATCTTCTCCGTATGGCAAATAGGTCTCCATTTTTGTTTTTCGGATAAAATTTAGTATCTTCAACGGATGTCGATATCCATTTACGAATGTTGACATCCGTTTAAGAATATCCATTTACGAATGTTGACATCCGTTTAAGAATCCAACGCATACTGAATGGTAAAAGAAGAATGAGGAGGTGTTGGAAGCATTATGTGGTGATGGAGGGAGTAACACCCTCCGCATTTCCAAAAAACTGCTAGTTGACTTTATTCACAGGCCCAAACAAATTCAATTTTCTTATTGATTATAAAAGATTTGGTCCTCCAAAAACATTGAAATTCAACCAACAGACTGACATATCTGACGATACACAAGACCTGCTAACAACTCATTTGTAAATAATACAGCCTACATTTGTAATGAAGGTAAACTATTACGCTGGATTTTACATTCCTACCAACAGGAAACAGAAAAATTTAATCCCGGGCAGTACAGAAGATATATTGCGCTCTACCATAATTGCATTCCCACACCACATTCTGATAAAGTGGAAACTAAACTTTGGTTGGCCATGTTGCTTGTGCTGACATAATAATTCCAACAATCACTCCAAATAGCCCAAGCGCGCTACCAAAGATCTCAATCACAAGAATTTTCACGAAGAGGGAGGAATTCTGAGCATCAGATAATGCACAGCTTCTTCCAATTATTCCTACACACAACCTGCCAAAGGGGGAAAAATTGAATGTTACAACAGCATGGAAAAGGTCACCCTGCACTCTATCGGGAGAGTTTCCTGCAAAAATGAGAGGTAGGGCAACAAAGAATACACACCCACAAACAAGATTTGCGAAGCCCACGATTAATCCAGAAGCAAAGATTGCATATCCAGCCCTAAGAGACTCTGGGTAATAGATATTTGCTGCTGGAACGCTTTCTAATTTTGTTTGAAGAATAATAGCCACAATAACACCATATATAGCAACAGCTTCACAGAAGATTACACTGAAATACAACAAACATCACGAACCACAATGACAAGATGGCACAAATGTTTATATTTGAAACTATATCAGCCATACTGGGATACTATTATGCAGATACTACATGCAAAACGGAACATTAACATTCATAGTATTCAAATAGAACAATCTTAAATTAAGAACGATTTTTTATATATTCACATTAAAACAGGGTCTAACAACTTATTTTACACTGTAAGTTGGGTCAATCAATCATTATTAAATGATTATGTACGAATTAGTTTATTATGTATTCAACACAGCTTATGATAAAAAATCTTTTTGATAGAGCTAATAAAACTAAAATCTCTACATAATTGAGAGAAAAAAGAACTAAAAGCCGAAAGAAAAGATATTGAGCTCAACCGTAATTGCCTTCCCAGGTAAACTAACTTTTGAGAGAGCCTTACTTGAGCTGGCATAATAATCCCAAGAATAAACAAAGCACACAAACGGAGGTCCAGTGAGACTGTGAACAATGTTGACAGAAAAATAAATAATTACCACTCCAACTTCAATGCCACTTAGTGGTAAACCAGGCTCGACCAAAATCGACAATATTGAAGTATTGAAGTTGAGAAGTTAGAGTGTTTATTCCAGATTGACTTGAAAAAGGGTACAAGCAATCTCTCTATCCAAAAAACCAGACATAATATGCACATGAGAATTCTTACCTTGTCAAGAAAAAATAAACTTCAAAGCATTCTCCTTTATTTGAAATTAAAATATCAGTATTAATCTTTCAGCTTTTGCATCTGACCTCTGAAAAAAAAAATAGACGGAGGTTGAAATGGAGAATAAAATTCAGTGCAAGAAGCTCTCTATATCTTTCTTTCTTTTTTCATGTATTAGATAGTTATTCAATAACCCAGTAGGCTTCAGACCATACGATCCCTTACTCACTCCCAATGATGAAGAAAGATTATCACTGCTACTTATGTGGGGGAAGACTAATGCCCTACCCAGTAAAATCACCTCATACTAAAAACTAAATCACAGGTGTCACAATTTTACTACCAGTAAATAGCTATTTGCCACAGAAACGAGCATTAAGCCACCAATAAAGTAACATCGTTGAATAAAGATCCAGTAGGAGTCACTGACAGAAGAGGAATTCTAGACTGATTCCTCAACATCAAAGACTTCATTTCATCACAACAATTTTCTTTTCCTTTCAGAAGCATTAAAACAAATATTAAAAAAAAAAAACCTTTGTCGACCACTGTTTTGTGTGTGTGAAAGCTGAGAACAGCCACCGTGCAGTTGTAATTTGTAAACTCTAACACAGAGCTGCTACAATCCTCTCCTACTTACAACAACTAACAATTCCTCTCCAACTTCAAATCCTTAACCGAAGCAAAGCTAAGAAATGTAATCTCCTAATCTAAACGAACGAAGCTAACCTAGAACTACAGAAATCAAGGTAAAATCAACAGAAACATAGACTTCCACTACCGTAAAATTTCTCAACAACATAATTCAGTACAAAAAATTACTGTAAAAAATAGGAAACACCTAAATTAAATATACATAGTCCAATTAAATGCATAAACTAAAAAAAACGGTGCAAACAAATTGCAATTAGTTTTACCTAATGAGATTTTTGGAAGTGATTCGAGGAGCCTTGATTGCAGCGCCGATCAAGCTACTACCGGTGATGTAGATCCCCCTGAAAGCGTGGGCGAAGCGATTCCAGAACTGAGAACAATGTAAATGGAAGCCGAAACGGAAACTGAAAAACGGATATCGAAGGCTTACCAGGCGGCGCCGAGGACGGAGACGCCGATTGCGACCGCGATACCGATGGCGGAGAAGGTTTAGGGCGAGATCGCGACAAGTGCCCTGCTCCAAGAACTCGAATGTGCCACAATCGTCTCAGACATTGTGACGTGTTGCTAACGGAAGGGAATCGATGAATGTTTGTGACTGGATCTCTGAGTTGTTCGGTTAACCACGGAGCCAAATTGGAATGGACGAAACGCAGTGTCGTTTAGATAATATTGAATTAATGTGAATAATCAACGTGACCATAACATGGCCACGTGGCCGAGAGTAATGTTAGAATAACAATTTTGATTGTAAATATGTTGTTTTTGTGTTACGCCTATTTCTTACATATATTTTTCATATTTAATAAAGTTGTTATAAATACGAGATCTTTATGAGAAAAAGCAACTCTATAAAAATTTATTTTAAATCATTTCAATTCATAATTTAGAAAAATGAGTAAATTGAGACGGTTGGAAGAGAAATTTGAAATTTTTTTATAAAGAACACCAAAATAAATCTTATGAAGTATTGTAATGTCATTATTATTAGGAGTGGAAAGGTATCGTAACGAAAAGAAAGGATGGGAAAGATAGTAAAAAAAGTGAGAATAAAGAGAGAAAAATAAGAAAAAGAGAGAAAAAAAAGAGAAAGAAGAAATTAAGAAAAAAGATGAAGAAGTTAAAAAGAAAAGAGAGAGGAGAAAAGCAAAGAGAAAGATGTGGTAAAATCTCTTTCATATCGTTTCGCACCATCAAAGAAAGACAAGGAGAAGTAACTTTTTTTATTCATTGAAATTTTTAAAAAGTTGAAGATGAACATTCCTCGTCAAAAATATTAAAACAAAATTATGTTTATGTGAGATTCATGAAAGTTCTGTTAACTAAGAAAATGAAGCATATAAAGGAGGAAACTATTCAGAAGACAACTCTAGTGTTATTATTTAAAAGTTGTTGCCACCAAAGTTTAAATATCTTGGTAGTTTTATTATTCCTTGTTCAATTAGGAATCTAGCTATAGGGAAAACAATGATTGATTTAGGAGTTAACATCAATATAATGTTACTTTTTATGATGAAAAAGATTAGAGATTTAGACGTGAAACCAACAAGGATAACTTTACAACTAGTCGATCGATCCATTAAATGTCCTTATGGGGTGAGTGAAGATGTATTTGTAAATGTGCACAAATTTACTTATCTAATGGATTTGTCATTCTTAATATGGAAGAGAACATTAAGGTACCTCTCATAGACTATTTATGAAAACAACAAAAGTTGGCATCAATGTTCATTTATGAAAACTCCTTAAGGTTATAAAATCCATATGAGAAGAAGCTTGATGCAAGAACTATTAATGGTTACTTCATCGGTTATCCTGAAAAATAAAAAGGATACAAGTTTTACTGCCCTAGCCATAGTATAAGAATAGTTGAGTCTGGTAATGCTCGATTCATTGAAAATGGAAAATTCAGTAGGAGTGAAGAATCACGAACAATGGACATTCAAGAGAATACTAATAGTGTTTTTACACCTAATGTCTCTTCTCAAGTTATTATCTCTCTTGTTGTATCACAATCACACAATATGCACAAACAACAAGTTAATGTTCCAATCCCACAAAATGAACATATAAATGTTGAGCCAATTGACAATATGCAAGTCACAAATGAGCAATTTATAGAGAAACTACAAGAAACAACATTAAAAAGGTTTGTAGGCAGAAAAGACCTACTATTTCGAATTATATGTGGTTTTCTCTGTTAAACAGGAGTGTGACTTAAGCATTGATGAGGATCTAGTTTCTTTTAGACAAGTCATGGAAAGCAACAATTTAGAAAATTGATTAATGCTATGAAAGAAGAATTGAAATCAATGGATGACAATAAAGTATGGGATATAGTTGAGTTGTCTAAAGGTTCAAAAAGAGTCAGTTGTAAATGGGTCTTTAAGATCAAACGTGACTCAAAAGACAATGTTGAAAAGGATATAACTAGATTAGTTGCCAAAGATTTTACTCAAAAGGGTGACATTAACTACAAAAAGACCTTCTCTCCTATTTATAAGAATGACTTTTTGAGAATTGGTTTGGTTTTGGTGGCTTATTATGATTTAGAGCTTCACCAAATTGATGTAAAGATCATTTTTTTGAATGATGACTTAGAATAGGAAGTTTATATTGATCAACCAAAAGGTTTCCCAATAACAGAAAAAGAAAATTTGGTGTGTAAATTGAAGAAATCAATATATGTACTGAAACAAGCTTCTAAACAATGGGATCTAAAATTTAATGATACCATAACTTCATATGGTTCTATAGGGAACATTGTTGATCGGTGTATATACATAAAGATCAGTGGGAGCAAATTTGCTATTTTGGTTCTATATGTTGACGACATTCTTCTTGTTGCTAATAATATTAGTATGTTACATGATATAAAGAAGTTTCTCTCTAGCAACTTTGAAATGAAAGATATGAGTGAAACATCTTATGTGATAGGAATAGAAATATTCTATGATAGATCACTATGATTGTTAAGTTTGTCTTAAAAAGACTATATTAACAAAGTGTTAGAGAGATTCAGAATGGAAAAATGCTCTCCTGGAGTAGTTCCAATTTAGAAAAGGGACAAGTTTAGTCAAATGCAATGTCCTAAGAATGATTTGGAACGAAAAGCCATGGAACTTGTTCCTTATGCATCAATGGTTGGGAGTTTGATGTATGCTCAAACTTGCACTCGACCAGATATCAATTTTGTCATTGAAATGTTAAGTTGATATCAAAGTAATCCCGAAATGGATCGATGGAAAGATGTAAAGAATATTCTTAGGTACTTACAAGGTACCAAAGACTACATGCTCACCTATAGAAGGTTAAATCATCTGGAAGTGATTGAGTACTAAAATTCAGACTATGCTGGACGTATGAATTCAAGAAGATCTACATTTGGATATGTTTATCTATTGGATGAATGAGAAATTTCTTGGAAAAGTGAAATACAATCAGTTATTGCTACTTCCACCATTGAGACTAAATTCGTAACATGCTTTGAGACCATTGTTCTCATGCATTGTGGTTGTGAAACTTTGTATCGAGGTTTGGTGTTGTTGACAATATTGTTAGGCCAAGAAAGATTTATTGTGATAATTTCGATATTGTCTTCTCCTCTAAAAATGACAAGTACTCAAAGGGTGCAAAACATATGGATTTGAAGTACTTATGAGTCAAAGAAAAAGTGCAAAAACGTAGAATGTTGATTGAGCACATTAGTACTGATTTGATGATAGCAGATTTTAACTAAAAGACTATTGTCCAAAGTTTTTATTGGTCATGTTGAAGTATGAGCATTATGGATAAGTTAATGTCAACATGATGTTATTTATCTATATGCATATGTATAGTTATATGTTTGTATTATCATGACACTAGTAAATTATATTAAAGTTATGCTTTTCTTTATTTTATTTTTATTCACATTAAGTTTGTTAGGATATTTATCCTATTTATCATCATTATATTGTGTCTAGGGTTACCCTATTTATCATGATTATATTGTGTCTATTATTCATCATGATTATGTTGTGTCTAGGGTTACCCTAATTATCATGTACTCTTGTATCAATTTATTCTTATAAATAGAAGATTGTGAGAGGATCACTCAATCCCTGTAGAATTATTTTACAGTTCAATTCTTAAGTTATATATATATATATATATATATATATTATTGTTGTGGTAAGATATTAGGTTTCTTTTAAAAACATAAAAGTTATAAAATTGATTAAAGTTATGTTGAGTTGGTTTGATTATGTGATAATGGAGGAATCTTGTTATTCATAACTTTTGTTTACCATGATTCGAGTATTTCAATTCATATAAAGTAAATGACTTGATAATTCTGTGCACATTTAACTATTAGTATTAAATTTTCAAATCATCACATAAAGCGAAAGAATGTTAAATTATATTAATTTAATATTTGATTATATAATTTAAAGAATAAAAGATTCTTATACGATGATTATTAAAATATACATGTATTAAAATTATGAGATTATTTTAGAATTATTAAAATTACATCCTCTATTCTCACTCAAAGAAAAGACATTTAGGTATTTTATTAAAATTTATAAAATATGTTAATAAACAGTTTAAAATGTTATAGAGTTCCGTTCTTGATAAAATGAAATAATACTGAATTTGATAAAGGAAGACTTTTTATTTGATAACTCTATATCATAAAAAAGATTTAAAAAAACAATAAGAGGAGAAAACATTCATAAAAGAAAATTTAACAATGAATCCAAATAATAAGTACTTTTTCTTAGTAATTATATGATTTCATATAAAATTGCTTACAAATAAGGAGTGCATGAGGAAGGTGTTGTTAAAAGGACTTTGGGTGATTTAGAGAGCACAGTAAGAAATAGATCCATACCTTTTGAAATATCTCTGTAAGTTCTTTTTCTATGAATGTCACCAAGTAACTAGATTTCAATATTTTCAAGTGATTAGTTATAGGATGATGCTATTTGACACCCTAAATTTTTTACACCTTTAATCTCTTTTTCTTTAGAATTATAAAAGTTAATTTTCTTAATAACTATTTTACTGGGTTCTAAAATGGCATTCTTAGTATCAAACCATTTCTCTAAGTTATATTTTCTTATAAAAATACGAGAAAGCATTTTCTCATCCAATAAATTATTTTGCGATTGCGCATACTTACTAATCCTCCAAACTTAGAAGGAAAAATTGTCATATGTAATGTTTTGTTCTGCATTTTTAATGTACTGTTTTGTTTACTGTCATTGATAGTTAATACACCAGTAGTAATAGAAGCGCAATTTTTACAATCATATACCGATGACTCTACAAAAATATAAATCCTTAATCTACGGACTCTAAGAGATGTATGGATTTAGATCTAGATAAAATTTTCAAACAAAAACATGGGATATACGTTAGCTAGTGACTCTTCTTCTCTTTCTGCCTTTTTCTTCTTTTTCTTTTCTTTTGTCTTTGTTGTCAGTGCTTTGGATGCAAAAAAGTTATTAGTTGATTCTTCAAATTCGAGTTGATTTGCTTATAGTTCAAATTTTTTTTATTTGCTTAGTAGTTACTTGGTTGGTGCATGAATAAATTTTGAACTGAAAACTTCACTATCAGTCAATCATTTTGGATTTCAACCAATCAGAATCGAATAAGATAGTCACTTATGTGAGGAGACAGCTTTCTTTTGTGTTGAACTACATTGATTTTAGAGAAAAATGAACTAGGTGAAGCTTGTATAGAAGAATCTCTTTGAAATACGTTTAAATTTTGTATCTTCTCTCTTATTAGCAATGTTGATTACTGAAGAAATGTTCACTCATAAGAAAATCATGCATTTCTTTTTTCTTGTGTTATAACGTTTTCAAAGAGTGGATGAAAAAGACCTGGAAAGTTTGTGATCGAACTGCACTAAGTTTACATCCCATACATCATGCAGGCCCAAATGGAATTTGACTGAGTCCTCACCAAGCCCAATGGATAGAAATTCAGTTCCAATAGCTGTACATCATCATATGTTAGTGCAATGTCATCCATCACAAACTAGATGGTGATGGGTCCTGTCATCTCAGAATGATGATAATTTTTCAGTTCTTAGCACATCCACAATAAAAACAGATTGTGCCCCACTGTCTTCACTATATGTTCAAGATGTAAGATAAAACAAAAACAGCTCTACCATCTTCAAGACTCAATTCAAAACTTCATTCAAAACCAGCTTTGTGTAACTTTAAAAATGGTAATAAGAAGGCATGGGGTAGCCTTGTTGGCTGCAACTTATTCTTTTCACTTTTTCTATGTTTTTTCACTTCATTATTTCTTATTGAATAAGAAATTATTGTCTCCCACAGAAATGGAATCTGATCTATCACCAATTTTAAATGCCTATCTACATAACTTTTTCATTTCAGTATCTTCCTTTCACAAAAACTAGAAGATGCCATATGTTGTTTAAAGGAGATACCGTGCCAGCATTCAAGCCAGTGAGGTTCAATCAAGGTGACTGCAGGCAAATGCTATAATTGAAACTTGCCCCTAGCAAACACAATATATTGTCATAGTGCTGTCCAACCTAGTTTGAATCTTCAGTACTACTATCTCTAGTGCCATTTTAACAGTCACTAATACGCAGCATTGTACTGCAACCTTCTTTTTTTCTAATCAAGTCACCTCATTTCTTATAATTGGTTTTGTTTTTGT